TTATAAGAATAGAAAGAATAATTATAATTTTATAAATAATAATTAATATATAAATAAAAAAGATTAAAAGAATTTCTTTTATATATCAAAATAATAAAGAAATTATAATTTTATAAGTAATAAAAAAACAATCAAATAAAAACTGAATTATTAAAATAATAAAATAAAGAAAATCTTTTTCCTTATTTTAATAATTTTAAAGCAAATTAGAAAGGAAATCTCTATGGGTATTAACAGTTATAATCGGATAAAATACAAAAATAAAAACTAAATGGTTTAAATCGAAATACTAGCCGAGTTTTTAATTAATAGTAACGATAAATATATATAGAATAATTATAAGCTGAAAGATAAAACAACTTTTAATTGCAATATATATAATAATAAGATCAAGCTTATATTTAATTATTCATAATTATTTATAAGTTATTAAAAATTTTATTTTTATTTATATTATAGTAAATTAATACTGCTATTCCAATTTATTTCCTTATGCTATAGTTTTAATTATATAATACTCTATATCCTTCTGAATAAGGGTAATAGGAAGTATTTTTTTCGAAATATAGTTCCTTAATTTCTTTTACAAATTAAATTATCAAAAAAGGATTAATTTTATTAAAAATCGATAAAATTGTAATTTACTTTTATTATATTATTGTATTTAATAATAGTTGTTTAATACTGGAGAAATATTTTATAAGTCTTTTTGGAGAATAAATACTTATATTTATACTTATTAGTAAAATAAAGCAAATAGTAAGCTTAATCTAATAATTGGTTAAGAATTCGATAGCATATACTATCCCTTTTATCAGAGATATAGCTATATATACAATTTATATAAATCCAATTGTTTTTCTGAATACATTATTCTTATTATAACATTATCTTTTTTAATAATCTTTTACTTAAAGATTCTAGTTTATTAATATTAATAAAATCAATGCTTTTGTAATAAAATATATTGAATTTATAATTAGATTAATCTTAATATAAAGCCTTTATAATCTCCTTTTTAATAATCTCGTCCTTATTATTTTCGATATTATTAAAGTAATATATTATTATAGTCAATTTATTAGCAAACTTTTTTTCATAATTATCAATACAATCGATTAAATGATTATATTCTTTTTTCAAATTTTATTTAGAAATATAATGAAATGGATATATTTAATAAGCAAATCGAAGGTTGATTTTATTCTTGAGATTATTATTTTCAATAGTTATAATTGTATTTGTTAAACAAATCGATTATATATTGAAGATAAACAAATAAAAATCTTATTTATATTTCTTATTAAAATTCAATTTATTATTTGCTTTATTAAAGTTATGATTATTTCCATATTGAAACTTTTTCTTCTTAATAGACTATTTGTCTTATATAATAGAAAAAGTAACTGCTCTTTTTGTTATAAGTTAAATAGAAGAGTAAGTTAATAAAGTAAATATAGGAAAAACTATAAATAATTTATTAATATATATGCATCCTTCTATTATTGAATCTACATCAATAATAGCTTATTTTTATTATTATATTTTTTTTTAAAAATCAAAGATATATTAATCGAAAGATATAAGAGAATTGATTGATTAAAAAAATTTAAAAAAAAAGAATTCAATTAACTTATATATTTTAAAGGATTTGATTGATTATTAGATTATAGAATAATTTCCTTTGCTTTATATATGCCTTCCTATCGCAAAAAAGAAAAACCTATATATATATTTGTTTATTATATTAATTTAATCAAATAATAATAATGCTATCTTGTGATTATCAATTCAATAATTAAAATAAATAATTATAAAGCTTAAGGGTAAGCTTTTTCAAAGGGGGGGGTAATGTTATAAATCGGCATTTAATTATAATTATAATCGCTTATATATATATATACATATATATATAATTATGTATATATAATTGATATATAGATGTATTTAATAAATACTTTGCTTTCGATTCTGTAGTTGTAGATTCTAAGAATAAATTGTATCCTGCTCTCGTAGTTCTTTTAAGGCAAAGTGTTATAATATTTTAAGCTTTCTAAAATTAATTTATTTAATCCCTAGTTTTCTTGTATACCTGTTTTATTTATATTATATTAATATTAAGATTTAATATAACGAATTAAGAACAAATTCAACTTTAGGAATTATTAATTAATAATATTAATAATTGCACCTTTGATATATATTGAATCAATCCTAACTTGTCTTTTAATTCTAATTTCTGGATTTTTTTAAAGAAAATTTATAATCTATTATTTTTCAAATATAAAATTATCTTCTTTAATATCGAAAAGATATTTCCTAATTTTCCGAATTTGTTGATATATAGAATTAATACCCAAAGACTTTTAAACTAATATTTAATCTATTAATTGTTTTTTTTACATCAAGGCTATCTTTTGTATATATTATATACCTTTTTTATAAAATAAATAATTATTTATATAATTTTGAAAAATAATTTTTAGAATTTTATAATCTAAAGTGGTTTATCGAATTGAATACCTATTTATTATTGTATATAAAATCGAATTAATATCAATTTCGGTATATATTTTAAATATAATATAAATAATAATATATCAAAATTTTAAATCAATTGATTTAAGTATTATAAAGTTATTAAAGAATAAATAAGAGAGATCCCTTCTTGCGATGAGCTTTTTTAAGGTGACCCAAAAGAGGGGTAGTCTGAAAGTGGGGTACCCGACTTATTATAGAGGTTAAATAACTAGAATAAGAAAGCTAAAGAGGAAAGAGATCCTTAAGGGATCCCTCTATCTTTTATGTAAGAATAATTGCTTAGTTTAAGTAAGTCTTGAAGTAAGATAAGTATAATAAATGATTACGTAATACTCGTTATATTATATTACTTAGACGAATTCGAAGAAGATTAGTTTTTTAAAAGCTTTTTTTAAGACTAGTTATTTCCTATATATAAATAGATAGTTAGGTTTTTAGATTGAATATTATTTAAGATAATTAGAATCTAATTTCTTTTCAAAATCTATTCCTTTATTATAGTATCTAATCTAAAATAGACAGATTCTATAAGTTTACAGTAGATGCTATTATAATATCTATATAGAATCTAAGAGGCATAAGAGTAAAACAAGTGTGATTTTTAGAGCATGAGAGTATTCTATCGTATTATCGTATTAAGTGATACAAATAATATTTATTAAAAACAATATTCATCTACTCTCGGCTATTATCCGCTCAACTATTTCTAATGTCTAAGTAATCTATAATAAAGATTATATATAACTATAATCCTTAAGATGTATTTCAGAAAGAGTTATATTATATATTAGTTTTGAAAATAGTAAGAGTTCGATATAACTATAATTAAAGATAAGAACTCAATGAGTATATCTAATATAATAGTATAAGTAGTCAAATCTAATCTATAAGCGAGATAGAAGTGAGAACTTATAGTCAAATATAAGTTATCAAAATAATCATCTAGATTCTATAGAATGAGAACTCCTTATATTAGTTAGATTTCTAAAGAAATCAATCTACTAAAGTTGATTTACTAGTAATAGAATTTATATAATATCTAATTTAATTAGAAGAAATCAAGATAATTAGACTTAATCTAAACTAATTAATTAATAGAAAGTCTTAACTAATTTACTTATCTAGAACTATATAACAAAATAGAGAAGACGATAATCATCTTTCAACTATACGAAATTAGATATAACGAATAGTCTAAATCTTATTTCTCAAGACTAGATGTCTATAACTTTTAGTTAAATAGTAGATCTTAAATATTAAGTTAAATTTAATTCTATAATTATAGTAATATATACATATCTATAAGTAGAGGATTTAAAATTATAGATTCGAATATATAAAATGAGAACTATTAAATAAAAATAATATAATAGACTTCTATGATTATATATAAATAAAAGATGGAGTTATATAACTATATATTTTAAAAATCTATTACGAATAATCAAGATAATAGATTTGAGTATAAAAGACGAGATCTATTATTTAATAATTTAGAATATATACTTGATTATATTAGCTTACATTTAGATAATAAATTATAGATATCTAGTTCAAATCTTTCTCATAAAGTAGAATAATATATAAGGAAATAAAACAGAAGTAAGATAATAGACTCTAGTATAAAAGACAATATATCTCATCTACTAGATAGAACTATATACTTGAATAAATTAGCTCGAACTCAGATGATATATTATAAGTACTTAGTCTAAGTTTTTCTTTTGAAGTAGAATGATTATATAAATATAGATGAAAGAAGTAAGAGATCAGACTAAAGTATAAAAGACGAGAATTCTCAGTATGTCGACCAAAACAACACATTAGATTTGAAGATTCAGACGAAAGTCACTCGGAATATCTAAGTCACGAGATCTAGGGCTAGGGTCAGGTGATTAGCACGATCTAGACAAGTAGCTAACCGGGAAATACTCGCCGGCGATACTGAGTTTGCAAGACGAAATAGCCCACCAGTATATAACTACTTTGAAATTTCAAGCTGGCTACTCATCAGGGGACAGAGACATTAGAAGCAGTCTATTTGAGCTAGCTATCGGCTATTTGTAGGCTTGAAAGCTTATACTGAAGCCTATAGAGAGTTCACTTGAAGGCATGGATCTCTAAATTTACAGGTTGATTATAGTGTTCATAGGCTAGGAACCTTTTACGATATCAAATCTTTAACGGCCCAAGCAAATTCCCACAATTGGGAACGGGGAAAGGTGAAAATAAAGCTGTTTGTAGTCCATAATGGTAAGAAAGTGTAGTAAGCAATGAGTAGTCACAGAATTATTCACGTCACTACGAGTCACAGGCATATATAGAAAGTATATTTGAGGCGGAAAACAGTTCAATTCTGAAAGATTGGTAATAGGATTTGGTTCTTTAGGGCACCACCCTCTTTCCACACAACAAAACTGATTCGAGGCGAGCAAAATGATTCCACCCACAGACATTCCCTACCTGCGGACCCTTCTTGCTCTTCTCCGCGGAATTCCCCGGGATCTGCCACGATTCGCCTGTTGACCAGCCTGTAGAAATTCTGTTAACGATTTATCAAGAGGAAGAGTGCAGCCGCAGCAGGATATATACGTACTCTGACGACAGCGAGCTCTGCCATAAGCGCAGCGATCTCATCAGCTTGCTCCCCGATCTTGGTGTTCTTCTCAGCTATTTCCGAGTCCTTGCCAGCGATCTCAGCGGTCAAGACATCAACTCTTCGCTCGGCCCACTGTGCTCTTGTCCACCAATCGTGGATTACGTCGTCTTTGTTCAGGATCGTCTGTTGCAGCTCACGCTATAATTGAAAACGTTAGTTATTCTTCAAGCCAAGAGTGTTAGATCGATCTTGACGAAACTTACGATCTTGTCAATCATTCGAAAGATCTTTTGAGACAACAAGCAAAGAGTTGGAAGCACGCGCGACATTCTTGCGAGTTGTTTGGTTGATGTGGTGGGAATTGTTGAGTTGGATTTTGAGGTTGTAAAGGTTTAGAAATTTCTGCAGCGAGAAACTGAATTTAACCTCAAAATTACCTGAAGACGGAAGCCTACGCGAGATTTATCTCGTTATTGTGGGGCCAGAGACCAGAAATTACGCTAGCTTCGATACCTAGTCGTCCTGAGGCCTCCTACTTACGTTGCCCCAAGGACAGAAAAGGCTAGTCTCTAGGCTTGTATAGTACTAGCAGCTTGGTTCATGTTTTCTTGAGCTTGAGGTTAGTTTAGTCCTTTGAATCAGTAGCAGCTTAGATTTAGGTGATGGACGTTGGGTCTGGAGCACGCAGAATCTACTAGTATATTGAGACATTGCGAAGAAGATTCGAATATAAACGACGCATGAGGCCATCGAGAGTAATCGCAGATGCCGGCGAGAAAGGCGACGTAGTATCATAGAGTCATGTCAAGAATTGATCAACAGTTACCGAGGTTTTGATTCGCATTGAGAGTCTGGAAGTCTGCTGGAGTCTCCTGTCCTCTCGGATCAGTTTACGAAGTAGGCGATTCTGCAGCGAGAATCCCAATTGAACAATACCAAAAATCATAAATGAAACGATTAATCTTCTCGATTAAGAGCACATCTAAAATACTAGAACTGCAATCCATCAAAATAAAGAGCTATCATCAAACGACGTTGCGACTTTATGTGACTGAAGCTCTTCATAAATCCGTTTATTTGAGAAAATTGACCCCACCAAAACATCCCTCTTTCCACAACCTCCCAATCTCCAACGAGCGCCGCAGATATGTATGTGCTGTTGCCGTTTCAATTGTTTTCGGCAGTTAACGAGCAGGAAAATGCGTTATGTGTCTTCTCCTGTGGTGGACATGCCCTGGTCCAGCTCTCAAATGCCTCTCCGGGCGTTTTCCTGCACCTACTTTTGACCGGCAAGTTCGAAATAATAAAATACGAACCATCACAGTAAGTTTCATGAGTTCAAGGCCCTTTTTAATATGATATCAATAAATTTGTATGCAAGGGATCAATAGCTAATCAAAGAAGAAGCTAGTATTGCCCGCATCTACGTTAAATATCTCAATGTCCCAACGAAGGCAGTTATCTATCTCGGTCCTAATGTCGAATTCCCGTCAAGCAAAAAAGGAACCACACACACAAAACCCTACTCCGTGACGAAATTCACAGGCTGATAAGCCCATCCTAAAGTCATCAATGAGATAAGAGCCGCCTTTAAAAACAATAATATGCAATGTGGAGGATGGAAAATGTCCCAAAGTTACAGCAAATCAAAGAAGAACGCCCTTTCCAAAGGTACTGTCAAAGGAATTACGAAATAAGAGATAAGAGGTCGACGACAACTAAGAGTTATAAGTCGAATCAATGCTACTCTCGGAGGTTAGAAGGGCCTAGGACAATCACTTGAAAGGCCCCGGAATAATGGTCTTCCTATATGCATAAACGCCAACGAGATGAAATAACCCGGACAGGCCAAATGAACCATGCATACGATACTTGTTGATCACGATTACGACACCATGGATTTCATTCAGGGCATAAAGTGAAGCCGCTCAGCTATAACGACGCAGATGCCGAGAAATCTCGTTGCCTTTGACGTAACCTAGGAGACCCGGCAGAGGATCTCAAGTCTATGAACCTCTTGCTCAAAAGGAGCCGCATGAACTGTACAAGTTTGCGCAAATAGGGTACAACAATCAACGGTTAGATAAGTATTGTCGTACTCTATGTTATGCCATCAAAATGCTAATGTATGCCATTGCTTGCAGCACCTCCCTCAGAAGTCCTAATCTAGAAAGTGGATGATCTCAGCTCGAAATTCCCTAAGCTTTTAGATGAAGAATAATATAAGGAAACCATGGTGCCCGACGAGTCCGAAGATCGTGAAGGACATGTTGACGCTTCCGTTGGTCGTTGGATAGACCCTTTCGTGGGATCTATTCTGAAAAGTATGCAGGTCCAAAATGCATTTGGCAAGAGTTCAGTTCTGACGATGCAATGCCACAAGATGAATGGTGGTGAGAACTCGCGCACTTTGAGAATGGTAACTTCATGAATGTTATGCTACAACTTTCAGGCGGATACATTCGTGTGGGAGAGGAAGATGTCGCTGTGAATGCACCTTCAATCTTATGAGGCACATATGGGACAAGAGCCAAGCTACATAGCCAAGTTTAAGAATAGAAATATGGTTCTCATGAGCATCGTAATGAGAAGTGTAAAAGACTGAGCCTTGGGACTTACATATGTCATGAGCTCTCAAAAGGAGTGGAAGTGGAGAGGCATTGCATGTCCAAAGTCCAAAGTATCATCAAAAGTTATTAACCCCCCCCCCCCCCCCCAATTCTGAATTGCCTCTGCCACCAGCGGTTGATACTCCAGGTATCAACCTATTCGTACCGTTGTTCTAGTACTTGTGCATTCAATCATCGAACTTTATCCCACCATGTGAAATAGTGAGACATAACTAACATGCCGGATACGGGCAGTAAACGTGCATAGAAATGTGTTGCTGTCTTCAAGAATAACAGGCTACAAGTCATTCAAACGCAATTCAAGTCTTAGATTCCCAGGTGATGGCTATGGGATCACAGTACATGTGCTTGCGAACACTGAAGTGAGGTGCAATATGACATCGGGATCCGTCGTTGCTGGCGAACGATTGGTGCATTAGCTGTAGAGTGAGACACGGAGTTCTTCCCCCATGGTTGCTCCGCCATTCTGAAGAGCTTTTAATAACTTGGTTTGTCCGAAACGTTCAAGAAGCAAGGAAGGAATCTTCAGCCGTTGACGATGAGCTGCTGGGAGGAAGGGAAAGTTGTCTTGACTGGGTAGTTAGTCTTTCGGGACGGCCTGAGGTAATACATCGTTGCAGTAATCCAAAAGCTATATCTTCGAGCAACACAACGATCTTCAGAGCTTCTCTCCCCCAAAAGTAGTTACTGAGCTATCACCAAGACATGAAGTCTAATTGGAAACATGAGAGCAGCCTCAAAATCAGTAAAGCGAGCAATGGCAACCAGGACTGAAAGTACCATTCCATTGACTGAGTCTATCATTACCACAAGAGAATAGGCTCAGGAGCAGTGTGAGATTTTGGAAAGTTCGAGAGGGTTATGAGGCAGCGAGTGTCACGGTGTAGGTAATATAAATCTAGCTCCAAGCCCAAGGCCTCCTGGGAGGATGTTTATAAAAGCAGCAGACAACGGCATGGTGAGTCTGATCGTCTGAATTTGCCAATATATCCTCGATTTGAACTCCGTTCTTAAACTATTGGTGATTGCATTGAGTGGGAATAGAAAGAGGCGTTGGCTTTGAATCCGAAACGCCTCAAAACGCTTTGGAGTGGAAAGTTCATCAAAGTATCTGTATATCCATAAGAATGATTGGAATTTTCAGCATACTCTTTTGGAAGCTTACTCCCCAATCAGAGCACCAAGAGAGTATGTCGCGTAGAACAATTGAGGAAGGATCGAAGGCGGGGTGCTCATTCCATACTTGAGGTCTTTTTGGTAGACAATCAGGTCAAGGGTGTGGCGATTCGTTACAATGGCCGTTTGAATGACCGTTTGGAAGGGTTTAAACAGACATCATCGAGTGCATCTGAATTATAGATCCTTTGAGAGCTTTAGGGGTAGAAAGGTTTTACTGGAAGGTTAACAAGAGGTTGTAATAGTATGGTCCTTTTAGGTGTTCGGAGGGGATAAATTTTTTTCCAGAGCTCGGACCATCACAACAACATCACACTGATCAAAAACAACCTCTTGATTTAAAAAACAACTCTACATCTCAGGCAGACATATAGGAAGACATCAAAGAACCTTGCTCTTTGATAGCTTCCTTTCTTCATCAATCATCTCAAAGAAAAGGGGACGTTGAACAGGATGGAAACATATTGAATCACTTGTCACTCTTGAACCTTGCATGTGCTCTTGTGGGTCAAATTCACACTTTGTCACTTTCATAGACGTCAACTTCATAAAGGGGATAACGACAAAGCTTTTGATATTGAGTTGAGAGATCCTGGCCTGTTCCTCTTGCAGAAAAATCATTCTCGAAGTTTTCGAGAAGATGGCGAGAAAGGAAACGCAATCCATATTATAAGTCTGGTATCTGGTGTTGAAAAGGAGACTTCTTTCCTCATCTGAAAAGCAACAAGCCAAACGGGACGGCTATTGAAGCAGAAGCAAATGCCTCGATATGGTTAGTATCGGTGCATGTGGGACATGTCCCTGCCAAATATTTCCATTTCCTGCTTCCCCTTCTTGCAATTGCGTACCAGTTGCAAGCAAGAGCCTTCCCGTCATGTGTAGTTGTGCCGCACGAGTGTGTCGGAAAGCCGGTTTATAGTTGTGTCATTGATTGTGCAAGGACATTGAATTATGTGTCGTCCGCCATTTTTCTTCTCTACAACGGTTCATACCCTGTATTTCTTCATGCCTTGCCAGAACAAAAGGCAAGTGCTGTTGGGCTCTCTTATCTGGTACGAATAAAGCGAGAAAACTGCCAGCCAGGGCGAATTGCTGTAATGGAACACTGAAGGGAGGTATCAACCGTTCAGGAAGAAAAACATATCTCTACATGTATATGCTCTTGTCACCCTGCCTTTCCGATACTTGCTTATGAAATTGTGCTTCGCCACAAGTACCCTTCGTAATTGAACCTCTTAGGAACGGCGTTGACGTTTATCTTCTCTCTCCTGATCTTGTGCTGTGTCACGAATTTTCTTGCTTCTTCTCAATGAATCAGCACCGGAAGATGTTCCAGCATTGCCCAACGCTACACTGACACTTGGACGACGGTTGACATCAATTATTCGGGCTGACAATTTAGCTGCTTTCCGGTGAAGCAATGGATAGGCAACATCTGCGACAGCCGAAGGCTCAACAACAGAAGTTTGGGATTCATCGACTTGCTTTTGTGGAGGCTGCTGTAAACGTTTTGGCACAGCTGGAATACCAGACCCAGCGCTACCGTTAGAAATATGACCGTCCTCAAGATCATTTTCTCCCTCTTCCTCGCAATCATTTGATGAATTACCAACAATCATAAATTTAGCCTTGTCGATGCCATGTTGTTGTTCATCGATTCCTATTTGTATAAGATTGACGATGGCATGAAAGGTAGTACCACTGGCGTCAACCGCACCTTTGATCTTCGATAAATCGCCAAGAAGTGACTCTACTCGGACATTGCCAAACACCTCGACGAGAAGGGCAGCAACTCCATGTCGGAGATTTTTCAAGTCAGATGCTAGCTGGTGGATTTTTTTGAAGACTTCCTGCATTTGAAGCTCTTTAGCGGCACCCTCATTATCTTTTACCGGCTCTGAGGGAGCTGTATTGGTATCAACTTCCTTTCCTTTGCGAGACCGCGCGTTTTTCTTGTCGTTGACGATGCCTTGTGCCGTCTGTATCTTAGGTGTACCGGTTTCAACTTGCTTGCCTTTCTGAGACCGCGTGCTGTGTAGAGTCATTTCGAAAATTTATTGCTCTCGTTTTCCTATTCTTTGAGATCTCCTAGATTATTTGACTTTATAAGCTGTTCACAAATTGCATATGTCAAACACAATATCTTTGAATATCGAAAAAGCGATAGACGTCGGCAGCAAGACGCAAGATAATCTGCTTCATGGGTTGCGAATAAAAATTCGAGATTTGCGATAAAAATTCGAAAAGTGGCTGGTCGGCCTTCTGCGTGTATTGCTTGATAATTCAAGATGTTGCAAAACATAGAAGTCTAATTAAGCGAGCGGGTGCGCCAGGTGGTGTTAAGGTAAAAAACTGTAAACCTACAATCACAACTTTCTATTCAATTTTTCGATTGCTTTAATTAAACAGAACAGGGAGTGATAAAGTGGTGTAATCAATTATATAGCCAATAATCTAATGGCTCAAAACGAAGTCCCAAAACAGGAAGCAAGGCTTCAACTTACATGCGACTCGTCAATCTAAAAAGCGTCAATTCGAAATACAAGAATAGAAGGCGTGAACGCAAGTTATGAAACATGTTGGGGATAGGCTCTGTCTGTAAAAATTGTGAACAAGGTTAACGCCAGTATGCCATTCTCCCAACGCATAGAGTGCTTCAGGAATTATGAATAGTATATCAATGTACATTTTTGAAGGCGAACACAATTCTAAGTTTTGACGGAATGCAAGAAACGCGATTTATTCAACTGACTGACTCATTCACAAATCTATAAGAGAGTGGAATAAATTGCGTATGCCAACTACCGTAAAGAAAAGACATTCAATAAGAGGGCGAACCTCTAACTAGTCTAGATTCTACCAATACCGAGAGTGTTCTGCAAACACTTGCAGCTACTCTGCCCATATTATTGAAAGTATGATAATGTCAAGAGGTAGCCTCCGAACCATTTCCCGTTCTTCCACGTATGGATCATATCTAAGTTGGTTCTTGTCTTGTCCAGCTCAATTTTTCCATCCAGCTTCCTTGCCGGCACGATTGGTGGAACATACCTCTCTGGTGCTGGTCTGGGCTGATCAGTTCTATAACGGAGTTTCGGTGTTGCAACTGGTTGACTCCGATCAACAGCTCAAGAAGCTTCCGATGGGTAATCGCGTGTGATTTGCCAGTTGATCCTGCCTTGTCGAAATTTGACGAGGACACTTGAGTGGTGAGGTTATTTCTTCGACCTAACCAGATATCCCTTTTTGTTCCCATTCTTTCTGGATGCGCTCTTTCATCAAGCTTTCGAGGTCCTCTCAATATCAACAGGTCATATTTTTTGGGAGCGAGCTTTCTCTTTTTACCCTCGGGGTTGGGCTGGTTCTTTTGGTGGCTGTTGATAGTCCACTATTCGGATATAGTCGAACTTCCTGTTGAAAAAAAGAATATCAGTAAATTGATCGAAAACATGACTATTGGAAGCTAGCAGGTGGCACAATGCAAATCTAAGCTATACATGCCAAGTTATAACCAACTAGATCGTGGAACTGCAAATGGATCATTCGACCGGGCAAAGAAGGGTTTCCTCGAATTTACAGATAACTTACAGTCGACGAGACAACATATTCGCGTGCCATTTTCGTGCCCTGTCCACGTATTCTTTCGACAATCGGTTTGTTGATCCATGGATAATCCTGGACTATGATCGATTAGCCGTGCTTGTTATGAACAAAAATGAATGGAGGTATAATCAAAGATAACTTACTATAAGCTTTATGGCTTTTAAAACTAACGAAAAACAACCATTGATTTGTCTCGCTCACGAGAAAAAATTGTAGCAGAAGCTATGTGGAAGTGAAGCTTTCGCGTTCGTAGGCGATCTAGGAAGGAATGTGGAAGAGAAGAATGTTGGCGCTGGACACCTAGACCCTTCGATTGTGGTCGATTTGTTGACTAACTTAACCTGCGGTTTTGAGCGCCAGCAGAAAACTCGAGTTGAACTGGCCAGGAGTACCAGATCAACTCCACGTTGTCTCTAGCTTGGGGTGTAAGGATAGAAAGTAATAACTCGAATTTTTCAGGTGTCCTTCTCGAAATTATTGTCTGGGCTGCTTGGGTCGTCTGATGAATTCTTGGCTCATGAGCCGACTGGAAATTTTTTTTAGCTGCCAGTCCTTAAAAGTTGAACCCAAGTCGGGAAAGTAGTCGCATTTAAGCTTGGGATGAAATGTGATGAAACATGTACGTACCTCAATATGGAAGAGCTGGTCCTCAAGTCTGGCAGACCCCTTCCCTACATGGAGGGATGTAGTGGCAGCCGATGCTGTGCTTTCACTTTTTAATACGAGTGAAAGTGTTCGGTCTGAGCTCTGACTCTTCGAAATATGCGGTGGGTGATAAAGTCCGCCGGAAGATCCTGGGCTTTTCAAGCACGATGCTGCGACTGTTATCAGTATTGATATCTCTCAGCGCAATGTTGTTGGGGCATGATTGAGCTGACTTACAAATAGGTGTCGAAGAGATGTGGTGAAGGGCATGGGGTTGGCCGAAAAGTAGCTCTTTCATTGAAAGATATAAGCTGAGCATTTATTGGTACACATGACGCATAATATAACGACGGAGAAGTTTGATGGTAATGATAATACTGGTTCTGTAGGTCTTATATTGATGTTGAAGGCTGAAGGTTGAAATTTGCAGTTGTGGTTGCAGTTGGAAAGAGGTCAAGCGTTCGAAAATTGTAATTGGAGCTAGGATCCTGAATTTTGGATTGGTTTCCATGCTGCTTTGAAGCTCAAATAGACTAAGCTCCCTTCAGAATACTTTCATCAACAAAATTTGAGTTATTTTTTAAGGTCATTAATGATACATCATATTTTCCAATCTTTGACTTGTGCATGATCTTTAGAAATGCCTCCTATTTAGCCGAGTCGAAAGCTTCACATGTGCACATTGTTTTTTGACTTGCATCTATATTTTTGTTTTCACTCGAACAACCAAACTTGTGTAAGTAAATTCCTCTTTTCACAGTAGGATTCTCAAAAACAGTTGTGAGAGTTGCACAGAAAAGTATATTCGTTTGAATTCTGATAATTACTCACCACAGATTGTTCTCCTAGAGATCAAAAAACGTCTGATTTTTCCTTCTTCTGCCTTCCAAGGTTGGTATCGTACACTAAACATAACATCAGATATTACCACAAGTTTCACCTTTTGTCTCAGCAGAGCAGACATGATAGGCAACGTCAGAATGGAGTCTTTAATGGTACTATGTTTGTTGTCCTTGCACATCCAATTTACCTCTTTATGCTTTGTTAAAAGGCTTGACTAACGAATTAAAGTCATCCTCTTGAGGCTTTTCGACAAAGCAGCGGTATTCTGAATACCTTTCATGACAAGCATTGCAAAATATAAATGGAGGAACCATTACGACTTGCTCATTCGTTTTCACCACCGCAATCCACCACATTCACCTCAACAATTCAAACCCTTAGCAGGTAGAGATATCTAAAACTATCATCAATTATAAGACTTGCTAACAATAATTGATTCCCAGATTCTGTCACGAATTCCATAACTTCAGCCTCTGCCGGATGCCACAACGAGCGCACCAAATGCTTCTCAATCTGCGCAATTGCCTGCCACCTGGTTTTCCTCAATAATCAATCCCACAAGCTCAAACCGTCTTGAAAGCAGGTTACCTGTTTCCAGAACTCAATTGCCAGGGGCTTTCTCAACCACCTAAATTCTGGTCTATTCCTTAGTGGTTCGATTAGTCTTTCGCTCCTATACGCAAATTTGACGATCTATGGGCATGTCTGCCAAGAACAGAAGAGGAATTGATTTCCCACTTGAACATCTACTCCAACTGGAATCTAGCAGTTGGAGTAACTCAAGCAGTTTGTCTTGGAGTGATCATTGCGATAAAGAATACAAACAATAAACCAGGCCCTTTCAACATCAGTGTTCCAGTCACCGAGCGGCTCATGCCTGACACGTTCAGATTTCTCAGCCTTCATGGCCATGGAAACATTTCCCTATCGGATATGTTCTGTTCAGTATGTCTCGTCCAAAAAATATCGAAATTGGCACCCATCACCAACAAATAATGCTAACACCTTTAGTAGCCATAACAGCAATTTGCTCATGAGTACGCGTTTTCAAGCCTACTGCAGTCTGGCGGAGCGGACGCAACGGTATATATGGAGCCGCGCTCTGGGCAAATTTACGCAGAAACCCTCTCGACTGAACGACAGCATCCAAGCCTCAGTGGAAGCTCTGACAGGGGAGACTTCATGCACTATTCATCATGGAGACCGAAAGATGGTTGAGCCTATGGCTCGGAGAACTTGGCCTTATTTCAGGCTCTGAGTTCTTAGTTGCCGATTTGATGACTTTTGTCGAGCTAGGGAGTTTGTTCACTATTGGTGTGCCCTCAATAGTTTACTTGGCTATTCAGATATCTTGTGTAGATTGTTTGAGTAGAACTCAGGTTCTTAGCTATACCAATATTAACCTGTTGCTCAGTGCACTGTCGACATAATCTAAAGTGCACCTTATTGTGCCGGAGAAGAGGACTGTACCTTTTTTATAACAGTTCTTGAGTCAACTTATTCCTTGTAGTCTTTTGCTAGACAGAAAGAGAGCGTGTTAAAGACGTGAAGCCGTGTTCTCATTCATGGTACCTTTGCTACTTTCCCAAGGCTATAGAGTAAGCTTGACAGCGCAAGCAGAAAAGGTCATAACATTAACACTTTCTAGTGCGAATGCGATAGCTCTTCTGACGTGAGTGAAAATAAATCTTGCTTTAACCCCAAGAATGATTAGAATCTGAAAGTCCTCCCATATGCAGCGAATTTGACCAAGCAAGACAACAACCATTTCTGAATCATAGCTTTCATTGCCGAATAATAGTACCATGCCTATTTACACGCTAGACACATTCCTGACATCTTTTGCAATAACGGAGGACGTTTAGGCTCTTGGGACTCAGTTCTGCCGGTCCATATCTACTATTAGTCTTTTACTCTGGAGTCATAACACCACCCTCATATACTTCCTCGAGCCTCATGAAGAAAAGAAAGATTGTTGCGCAAAGGGAATGTCATCCCCCCCCCTCAAAAACCCGCACTGCTGCTGCATATCACACCTGCCCCTCGCCGAGAATCCTGTGCATACAAATTTTCCGAAAAAAAAAGAAGAAAAAATAGCAATTCGATGTGAGACAAGTAATCGCAAGTTCAGTGCAGAAAAGCTCGCGCTCCAGTCAAGGTCAAAATACAAAGTCGTATGTTCGTGCAACTTCCCTTCGATCGCCATCGTGAATGTCAAAAATGCAATGCGACAATACAAATCAATCAACAGCTCCAACAGAAACATTCAATCTAATTCATCTTCAAATGCTATAAAAACCAGCCAACCTACCCTAAAACCCCCAACTCATCTCCTCAGCCCCCTCCCCAAACCTCCACACTCCACATGCACAACCAAAAAATCCTCCTCTCACCTCACTCACGCCTTTGTCCCTCCAATCCTCCCCATATCTCAACTGCGCAAATATGAGCACGATTCCACACACCTTCGCTTTCCTCCCGCCATGGCAAACAAAGAAAACATTCATCCCCCCTCTCACCCAATTGGCCAAATTCCTCACGCCAAGCCAAAGCTCCAGCCACCATTTCTCTATTGGGTCAATGGAGCCGGAAATCCTACGTCGCCAAGAACCGTAAGACGCTACAGTTGAGCACATTTTACATACGAGTATATGGTCTGTCTTTTTGTCATGTATTCTGGGGAAATTTTTCATCTGGCAGGTAGGAGATGTGGAGTGGGGATTTTATTTGGGGGAGTGAATGGGATGGGATGGTTCGGTGTAAATCCAATGGGCGTGATATTTGATATTGAATATTTGAGCAGATTATGAGGGAATTAGTTTGGGTACCTTGTTGTTCGTGCATATCTATATGTATGTGTTCCTGCATAGATGGGCTGGATTTGTGAAAATAGTCTCGTCGAATATCTTCTTAAGCAACGTCGATCTTTCTTGATTTTCGTATTGGGCTCTTGATCTGTGTCTTGGATTTTCATTTTAACAGGCAGCCTTCCCAATCTTCGAGAATTTCTTGATCTAGATCACCGCGGAAAGTTAAATCATCATGGCTACCCTCAATATCATCGTCCTTCTCTCATTCCTCTCATCCATCGTCTCCGCCCATTTCTCTATCGAGTACCCACCACCGAGAGGCGATTCCTTTCTTCCGCCTGCGTCTCAGTGGGAGTATCCATGTACGTACATCTACCATTACTAGGATTCATCCTCTCCATTCCACTCCCATCCAATTCCAAACGACTAGTTTAGTACTTCACACAATCTCTAACCTTCCTCCTAGGCGCAAACATTAACACTACCGAGAACCGTACTCTCTACCCTACTACTTCCTTCCCCATCAATCTTGACTTGCATCATCCATGGACATATGTGTTCATCAATCTTGGTACGTCTTTTCCCTTGGTATCTCTCCACTCCATTCTTCTTACAGCTATCCTACTCTCCACATTCTCACCACACCCTCTAAACTTTCCAATCCAATCTAACACCTCCCCAGGCCTCGGTATCAACGGTTCCTCTAACCTAAACATCTCCCTCACACCCTCTCCCTTAAACGCCACCGGATCCGGCCACCTCTGTCTCTCCGACTTCGATTTGCCCTCCGGTGTCACCCTCGAAGATGGCATGAACGCCACAATCCAAGTTGTTACTGTGGGCGAAAGCGGTAGTTCCCTCTACAACGTAAGTTCTTCCTTCTTTCTAATCACCTGATCAACAACCCTCTTCTGTACACCATTTCCCTCATTCCAATAGGAAGAGTAACAAACGAGGAAGACAACGAACTCCAAAGCTGACAAACAATCAGTGCGCAGATATAACGTTCTCTAGCAACGTCACTGCACTCAAGGCTTCAGATAACTCAACCCAGTGTCCTACCAGCCCGGGCATCACAGTCACAACACTTGCCGATGCTTCAAACACCACTTCCAATTCTAGCTCCACAAACACCACATCTAGTACTTCTGCCACTGGTACTTCAATCGGATCGAAAAGTACCGGTGGTTCTTTAAGTGCTATTGTCGTATTCCTAGGTGCTTTTGGTATTGCTGGACTTTTAGTTATCTAATTTCAAGAGAAGCAATGACACTCACGAGATCAAAGGAGCAAAGGATATGGCTCGTTGACGTATTTGAGTACAGGATTCTGGACTTAGCATAATAAAGACAAGCATTGAATCAATTCAAAGATAAGCTTTCCAAGCTCTACTCTTTGTTCTCTCCAACCCTAAGAAATCCACCACTTGTGCTAAATGATCCACGCCCCAGAATCCCCGCGTTTCACCTGCGGAATTCGTGCATACCATCCACTGTTTTCATTCATATCAGCAAGTATACACTTCTCCCGCTTCCCCATCATCACAAGCTTCCACGACCAAAAGCCCAGAAAAAGAGACAAACTCACAGGTAACCCAAAAGCCCCATCCCGTACCGCTCTCTCATTATTTTTCAGCACCGCCTCTTTACCCTTCCCCGCAATCTCCTTCAATACCAACTCCTTCTTTTCCTCCCCAATCAAATTCTGAAGCACCTCTTCGAAGACCCCAGGAGCCGTGATATTCTTCCCCTCCACCCAATACATTTCATACACACGATCTAGACATTGACATAAAATCTCGTGCGCTTCATTCCCCTCCGGAAACAAGAATGGCAACACACCTAACGCGCGTTGAATCCCAAGCGTCATGTGAGGAAAGCCGACTGGTGTTTTAGAAGACATGGGAATATTGAAGACAGATGCCCAATGAAGACGATCACGGTCGATCCATTTATCTTTATCTGAGGGGAAGTGTTATTGTTGTAGAGAATGAAGAAGTCCGGCGTGAAGAAAGAGAGAGACTAAGCAGAAAGCAAGCAATGAGACACACTTTTGATGTTGATAGGTGGATTGTTCCCAACGTCTTTCATGATGCCACCCAGGAATACAGGTATGTATTCGATGTTGCATCTCGAGAATGTAGGATCATGCTAGGAAACATATGAATTAGCACGTCCCATTGTAATCAAGTTAAGAAACAAGTCTTTGTATCCAGCGAGAAACCCGGAAGAGATGGTGAGTGAGGCAAGAAGTTTTTCATGTTCTCTCAATCAATACCAACATCCAGTTCTCACTTGACTAGACTGTGAAGACAAAAGCCTTTCTATTGTTTATCAGGTTCGTCAACCTTGGCTGCCCGTTCCACCACCATGCCGCCGTTCAAACCTATTCATCGTGAGATCCACTTACCCTGAAAATCCAATAAGCCTCATAAGCAAAAGGGCTGACTGTATCAACGTATAACGTGATTTTTGGTCGTGCTGCCATGTTTTCCATGTGTTCAATCTTCCTTGTAAGCCTCCTGTGACCCTCTCACGATCAAATTACAAACTCCTTCAATGCAGCTTACTTCAATCCTTTAAAACTATACCTTCGAATGAATCAAACCTGATATATCCACCCTATCAAGTCACTCCGCACATCAAAATTCCAGTACCTCGGTTCTCGGGAATGTGGGGAAATCTCACCACGCATCACGCACGTAGCTCATCCCTCACCAGATAATTATCAATATCTCATCTAACACGAATTCAGTCCAACATTTCACCAAGTCGTCAGTATCCATGTATTTCAATTGTGGTCATAATTATACTTCATGATTCATTCTAGTTGGGTATCATAATGTACTAGGTAGTCTAGGGTAATCGCAGCAAAAAGGTCTATCATGAGGACGTAAAACAAAGCAAGCATTACCAAACCATACCATACCACTCCAACTCCCTAAAGCACAATTGTCTCCCTATGTCTGTGTACCAAAGTTACTCAATAAACACCTCTCGAACCCATATTGTACTCCCTAGTGACCCTTCCCTCTGAAAGCAGATACGCAAACCCTAATGTTGTGACCCCTATGGATCCCGTTTATTTCTGGCTCTTCTTCCTCGCTCTCATGTTTGGCAAAGTATGCATCTTCCCCGATCTCCTTCCAATTTCCACACACAAGAAGCGGATAAAATCCCTACTGTTCCAATAGCTGCTATGAGCTGACAACATATCAATATACTGGTTGGCTAACATTCCTGGACGATTTCCCAAAATCCAATCTACCTGACCATTTTCATTCAATTGGCAGAATTTTTTCTCAGCCATCTCCTCGGCCGTGAAATCATGGACTTCCATTTCCATTTGAGATGGCAATTTGGTGATTAAAGTAGGTCTAGGCATTTCTCCAACGTGAAGCGCTTCATCTTGAGACATGCCAGCAGCAGATTTCATAGCATGGGTCACTGCGGTCATGAAACTGCGAGAAGAGTCCGGTACTTCCGCTTCTTTGAGATTTGCCCCATATCGTGGGTCTACACATGCGTTCAAGCGATATGCGATAGGATCGTTGCAATGCATGATGTTGTAAAGGTTGTCTATCGCCAAGCATCCAAATGTACCTGCATCACCGAAAATGTCTTTACTGCTGCCATTTTCGCATTCACAGCCAGGCTTAGAGATACCCTTCCTAGGAACTAAAGACTTGCTATCGAGTAGGAGGAAGAATGCACATGGACTACCCGCCAGGAAGCAGTTTGTTGTCTGAAAGTCAAAATGCTTGGTGTTGGGTCGCCATGAAAGCTCGGCTGGTAAAGTGGTGGGCTGTTTACTGAGCACTTCGAGCGCCATGACACTACCAAGGGAGTGTGAAATAAGGTGAACCCGACCATTCTTGTGAAAACCTGGATTGTTCTTACACCAAAGACGATATATCCGGTTGGCTTCGGCAATTAAAGCTGCAATCATCTTGTGCTTGTGCCCAGACATATAGTATGGAATATCCAACATCACATCCGAGATGAGCTGGCGTACTCTTGGAATTGTTGGCTGGGTTATGTCGTCAAGAGAGAAATCACAGCCTGGACGTTCTTTGTCTCCAGGCTTTCTTGGCCCACCATCTTCAAATGAAAGATTGGCACGCCAATTGACAGGAAGCACCGTAAGACCACAGAAGTCTTCTCGGAGCACCTTCTTCACATCATCATTTGTTAATTCCCGCTTCATCTCACATCTGAAGCTGTTCACTGCATATGTAAAGTTGAAGCTCTCCATGCGCTCCGAAAGTTTTTGGCCAATGCCATGAATGACCAGGCACAAATCAGTAACCTTTTCAGGTTCCTCTTGTGCCTTACATGCCGGGCACTCTTCCAGTATATTATAGCCAGTGTTACTATGCTTAGAACTTTTGGTGTGTACTTTCGTGGCGGTCATTGATTTCTTTGAAAGATAAAGCTTATTCCAAGCCTTCCGGTTGAATCCACGAACGACAGGTATACCAACACATAGCCCACTTTTGATTTTTGCGAGGGGTCTACGTCCGTAATAAGCCGAAGGGCAAATGCTGGGCTTCAGAATGAAGGCTTCCTCACAGTTCTTATAGATGACTTGTGAATTAGGGTATTTTTTACTAATGGAGGTAGCTGCACCTGGCTTTGAATCCGACTCTTCAACCTTGCCTTCTGCGGCAGCTTCGCCATGAAAGCAGCGTGCGGCGCAATGTGGATCTGCGGAGAGAATGTGTTTGGAAGAATCATAATCTAGAGTTTTGTCGTCATTTTCTTTTGGCCAGAGACGGTGAACGATTTTCTCTTCGCCTTCCGCGCCAACTTCTATTGCAGAGTTAAGTTGATCGGCCCATGTCTGAGACCAACACTCATTCTCCCTGTAACCCTTCTCTAGCTGGTTTGCGACTGCGGGCTCTACAGGACACATGTTATCTTTATAGAACCACGTGCCATATATACAAGGGTACTGATCATTGAGAGGTGACCAGTATATCGGCTTCAAAATCAGAGATGATAAGCTGACCAAATGAAGTCTACAAGTCCCAACAGGTATGTCAACTTGACATTTTGCATGCTCATTATGTTTGTAGGCCTTGCATCCTTCAACCTCCATGTCTTCTGTAGAGTCACGTTCGTGCGAGATCCGAGAATCAGTGGGTGGCTCATCGTCATATGCTGTGTTGTTCTGCATCTGAGGACTTTCACCACGAGCAGGCAGTTTCAGAAATGGCTTTCCTGTGGTACCAGAACCGGTAGTTTTTGCACTTTTAGTGTATACATTGCCATTCCCGCTTGAAAGTACATCATGCTCAGAGACTTGCGATTGACGTTTGCAGGTACATCTGTCATTTGTAGCATCTCCTTGATCGGCAACCATGTAATCAACAGGAAGATCTTCATAGGAGTCATCACACAGACCACCGTCTTGATCGCCCGTACCATCTGCCTGGCGTCCACCGAAGAATCTGCTTCCGCCCGATACATTTTTAGAAGATGCTTTCAATGTAGGCCTCTCGTAATTTTGCTTCCCAGATGTTTGCCCCTCAGAAACTTGTTTATCTTTGAATTTAAGGTCGTCGCAGCAACTTCCAAGTCTTGTTACGGACTCGGGGTAATCTTGCTTAGATCTTTCGTCTTTACTCTTGTCGTAGCTACCTGAGAATACAGTGTCGGGATCGGATTCTTTCCGCGTTGGACGATCTCTTGCCTTGTCTCCGTCACAGATGCCAGAAAATTCTGTCTCGATGTCGGATTCCTTTCTCTCGGAAGCCTTATCAGCTTTACTTTCCTCACATCGGCCTGAAAATACAGTTTCGGCTTCGGATTGTTGTCGCTTAGAGTTGGCATCAGCCTTGCTATCATCACAGCAGCTTGGTATTCTTGAGGTAAGTGGATCTGGATTATACTTTCTATCCTCAACGCAGCAAGCGTCTTCCTCACTCTCGTGTGCTTTGGAATCTTCCGTATCTTCAGTACTCTCGCTGTGGTGACGCTGATCTCTGTAAAACGAGGTTGAATCTGACTCCATTTGAGATTTTAACTGTTCGTCAAACCATGCCTTTGTCTTTTCCACTTGATCCGTGTCATCTTGGTCATTGAGGGCAACAGCCTTACCCTTCCCGTTGTCGCTCAACTTCGTCTTGACAGGCTTTTTCTCCTCGGGTTCCTCTTTACAGGCCTTGTCTTCCGAGTTAAGTTCTTTTTCAGACCTTTCTCTTTCGGCCTTTCCTTTTTTACAATTGTGTTCCCAATGCTTAGATCTCGTCTTTTGATCGGTGCTATCTTTGTGAGATTCGACGTTGGTACACAAACAATTAGGCTGATGGTTGTGTGGCTTGCACTCTTCAGGAATTACTTTTCCTTGTTGACCATGTTTGAGTGATTCGGCTGGGAATGGCTCTGTAGGGCGGTTGTGAATTATTTTGGTTTCCTTGGATTTTCCGGTTGTGTAATTTGAGTCTTTTGATGAACGATTGCACGTACACTCATGCTCAGGGTCTGCTTCTGGTTTGCAGTCCTTCTCAGACACTTCTTTGTCAGGTCTTTCTCTCTTGCAACTATGCCCATGGTGTTTGGATCGCTTGCTATGATCGGTAGTCTCTTCTTGAAGATTCTCCTTAGACTTACATTTGGTGATTGGCCCAGGAACAGGTGGCTTGTCATTGGCCTTAGGGGCGGATGCATGGGGTGGGTGGGTTTCGGCTTCAGCCACTTCTTGTGGAGCTTTGGGGCAAGACACACATTTGCACTTCCCTGCCTTCTTTCTGCACCAGAGATGACTCCCCTTGCAAGGGCAACTGATAGTTGAGGGTGAAGTCTTCCCCTCATTTGCTCCTACCTTATGTTCCTGATGGCTATTTGAATGCTCGGAGTGGGCCTGCTGTGGCTGCGTTGCCGATCCAGTCTTTGTCTGTTGTCTTTCAAAATTTCTTGTAGTCGACATCAAAGATTCCTTCAACTCTTTGGCCTCGCGTTTGATTATTGGTTTAAATCCGATAGCACTGGTGATCATCTTGTCTGTTATCGGCTCGATCCCTAACTTAGGCTTACATGTCCGATTATGACTTCTGCGGTCCCGCTTTGAACCCATTCCCAGCCATGCTTCCAGGAGCACCTTGTTATCGCATTTCGGGAATGGTCGTGGAGGATGTCTCACATTCTTGGAGTCGGCCGTAGGAGGTGGTACAGCAGTGAGAGGATCATCGAGCGGAAGAGGAGAACAATAGAAGAATTGCGCTCGCATTGGGGGCATCTCATCACACGGCTTGCGAGCTTGCTCGCTGCTACCAGGAGGAGCGAGGTCACATCCTTTTCCGAAGGTATGAATAGGTTGAGACATATTGTCTTGTACTGCTAAGAATCAATAGGCGGTCCCGTAGAAAGGATACTGGCACACTTACCGTTATAAAGAAAGTAATATTAGGTGATTAATAGGATTAGAAGGATTAGATACTGGTCACTGCTCTGCGAATGTGGCCGTCGTCAAGAAATCAAAAGCAGAGACAGTATAATAATATTGATGGCGGTGTAACTTGTATTGAAGCGGAAAGAATGTATAGAATAGAGAATGGTAGTAGAGATGATGATGATGCTGAAGATGATGAAAGAGAAGATGAAGAGAAAAAATAAGAAGAAGAAGCCATGAACAACCAAGATTGTCGCTGCCAATATCGGGCAAGCCAAAGATAGGAAGGAAGTACTCACTGTAGTCGTGTTTCTTTTGGAGGGCGTGGAGGCAACTGCAATCCAGACTTGTACAGGACAGTACAGCGGACTTTCTGTGTGAGATGACGTCTGCTAGGTTACGGGCGGCGCTTTGGGATTGGGGAACATCACATGCCACCTACCTAATAGTTTGATTGATAAGACAATAGAAGGAAAAAAGTAAATCTTGGAGCCTTATTGGGGAATAGAGAAAAAATGTATTCAAAATTGGATTGTTATCTATTTCTGAATAGCTTCAAGTCATAAATTGTGGTATTGTGGTATTAAGATACGAGTGATGAGTCGTCTTTCTTACAATGTAATGTTTTCCAAACCTCGCAAGGTTAATCTTAAGAAATTGGTTGAACGATGGTGGATGGATGGATGGATGGATGGTAATCTCCGTTTGTCAATCAGTAGGTAATCAGTACTACCATGGTAGGCATGTACACCTTACCACTTTCAGAGAGGTGGCCCAATCTCTCATACCCTGGACGAGATACACTTTACACCACCCAGGCCAGGTACACATCACAATCACGGTGCACATAAAGAACAAAAGCAATCTTCATTTTACACTTTCTGATTTTAAATACTGCTTGAAACTTTGAAGGTTTCTTATCTCCTAAGATATCTACCAGCTGTTGCTTCATTCTTCCTCGTACATACTCGTAGCTTCATCTCCGTTCTCCCTAGGTACACACATGTAATCAAAATGTGCAACGCTGAGTACAATAGGATTGCAGTCAAACCCTCGCCCAGAAGGTTGAGATGAATCGAGATGAATTCAGATGAATTGGGATTTCGAAGCAAATCAGCAAAATGGCAAAGATTTAAAGAAAACAGAAAAGCTAAGTTGAGAACATGAGAACACTGAGATCAAATTAATACGGCGAAAATAACAAATCTATTATCCATTCCACAATGCACAGATCAACCCATGTACAATCGTGAATCTCAATTTCCACGAGAAATCTTGTGCGCTGGAGTTTCTAACCTCTAGATGACATGTCTTTTGAATGAGTTCGAGGTCGATATAAATCAGTCGAATGACGGCGAAAATACATACATACATACATACAACACATAGACGTGTGCGGATTGATCGAATTATCTCAATTGGCGTAATGTTCAGGAACGAGCTTCATACCTTTATATGGATCACTGTGCGAAATGTTTGACGATAATTGTGGTTCCCACTCCTTCTCATGGCCATTTCGTGAAGTAGACCTCTCAACTTTTGCAACGCGAATCGCCTCGTTGATTGACAATCGAAGATGCTGGAGACGAAACATAATCTGTTCTGAACCACCAATGAGCTCTAATATCTGCTCTACATCGAACACCAGCTTCAAGAGAACAGTATCTGCATTACAGAAGGTGCGGATAGACATGAGAGATGCCACCTGTTTCCAATTGTAAAGCATAGATGAGATACGAACATCATCACCTAGTCGGTTACCATGAAATCGGAAGTTGTACTGATTGGCGGTGACGAGATCCCGCTGGGTGCCTTGGTCATACATAAATTCGACTACAGCAGGACGCCCCTTGTTCTTCCATGTATCCACAGTCTTCTTGATGCTATCGATAGACATGCGGCCCTGGCTGAATTGTATCATGAGAAAGGTATTGGCTGTGTGAACTACCATAAGTTCAAGTTCAACCAAATATCTAGCCTGCTCATACGGGTTGATGGAAATAGACAAAACTGATATTCTATTCTTGTCGAGTCTCATGTCGGCCTTTTCAGCCTACTCAAAGTCAGTAATGGATATGGCACATGGATGGTATACACTTACGAAGCCCTCAATTTTATTTTTAATCTTTTCCATCATTCCAGGCTTCTTGGGTCTATCCACCTTCTGGGTCGACTTTGAACACATAACACTTGGTCGGACCTCATTTTGAGATGAGCCAAGCCAGCCATGCTCCCCGAACATTTTCTTCATTGGCGAACGCGACCTCTTCTTTGGAGAAATCGGAAGCAGGTCCTGGCCGTGAAAATCGGGCTCTTCCTTTTCAGCTACGTCGACTAGGTTTTTTGTGGGGGATCGAGTCATCTGACGATTGACGGTAGTCGAAGCGGTGCTCGAATAAGACACATTGCTTTCACTTGATTTTACCTCCTTTCGGACTGGGGAATATGTTGCAGAACGACCTCTGCCATCCGGTACGTCTTCATCAGATGGGCGTGAAGACTGCTTGCGATGCTCGCCAGATGGCATACGAACTGGGGACCGCGATCGTCGTTGATAATTTCGTGCAGCTTGATGAACCGGTGAGCTGGATGGCTGCGGAAATTTATCTCTGGCCCCTTTGTTGACAGGAAGTCGAGACAGTTCAAGAGTAGCAGCGCGACCGCGGTTGGGGAGACTTTGAGTCGCAAAAGCGTTTTGAAGGATTGGTGAGATAGAATCAACACTGGCATCATAGGCTCGATGATCAGAAGCAGGAGATTCTTCGCGTGCTGCAAATCGCAACGGCGTAATACTTGGGGATGTATCGCTACGTTGGAGACCATGGCCATGGCCATGACTTGAGTGTTGGGGCACCATCAAAAGATCTTTGCTACTTCCGGCATGGCCAACTGACCGTGAGTTTTTAACATGGCCAAGACTTGGCGATGAGGCAGGCCTGACATTTGCATCAATATGCATGAAGTCGGTCATTGTGGTCTGGCGCGACTCATCCATAACCAGCGGAGTGTCTGGCTCAAATATATATGGGTTTCTGAAATTTCCTGTCTTGCGACCGTGTGAAAAACTAATCCATGTTAGAAAAGTCTCAATATTGATGTATTATTTGGCTTACCTATGAATAGGCATCGTGTACAATGGCTGTTGTTGTTGTTGTTGAGGAGAATAAACAGATCCGGGGGTTCCGATTGGAATAAAATCACCAAATAAGCCACCAGAGGTGCCAGAGGTGTCAGAGAAGTAGTATTGCTTGATTTCAGAGACAGTTGAGCGCGCAGTAGTCTCAGGTGTGCTTGGATGATCCCTTGACATCTGCGAGTCCTTTGTGCTGCGATTGTTTGGCTCACGGGTTGCAATGTCTTCGTCAACTAAAAAAGGTGTGGCCTGCTCAATTGATCCCAGACACTCACGTTTCGGAATGGAAGATGACCGAGGCGGATAGCGGGTTTTCTCGTGGTTGTAGTTGTTATCTTGATGTTCTGTTGCTTGTTTAAGTTGAACTTGACTCGGTTGCTTGCAGATATACAAAGGTTGAGGAGGGCAAATTATTGGGGATTGTAAGGTAGGGAGACGTCCTTGGTTGAGTTCCATCAAGAACCTTTTCGCCGCATCGCTTATATTGTTCTCATTGTAAAGTGAATCGCCGTCGTTGTTCTTGGATCTATTGTCGCGAGTCGCTACTTTGGATCTATAGTTTTGTTTTGGTAAACAATCATCGGCTGCACCGTCGAAATTCATGACCTGCTTTTGAACTGATTCAAACGCAACTACAGATGAAGTTGATTCAACCAAAGATTCCAAGGAATACGAATTATTCAAGCGTTTGTTTGCAAGATTTATTTGATTTGTTTTCGTTTGTGACTGTGAAGTTAGTGGAAACTCGGTTGTCAAGGGAATCGAACTTGCTGGACTGCCCACCTTTTGTGTACCAAAAGCGGCAGAAGATTTACTTCTTATCGGAACCTGAATTTTTGAAAGGTATGGACGCTCAGACAATCGACCTGGTGGTGTAATATCTACTTTCCCGACTGAGGTAGATAGTTGCGACTTCGATAATTTGGGCACAATCTCGAAGTTCTCCACTTTTGGGAATGTCATGTTCTGGGCTGTTGCAGTTTCAGTATTGTAGCTTTCGAAATAATCGAGCTCAGAGTTGGACGAAATGTTACTTGCTTTCCGTGAAAGTTGTTCTGTACTGCGTGGAAAGCCCTTGTACTTGTTAAAGGGATCAAGGGACGATGGGGGACTGTAGATCTCCGGTGACAGCCGAGATTCTTCGGACTCTTCAGATTCTTCATCATACTCGGAAGAAGGCTCCTTCCACTTCACAAGATTTCCAGAAGATTTTCGGTATTCTTGTTTGTATCGACATTCCCAGGACTGACATGTACCATCGTAGCTATTGCGATTTTCATGCCCATGCTCATCTTCAAAAGACTCAGAGCTTGGTACTGAACTTTCCTTAGGAACCGCATTCTTTGAGGTTACTGCCGAGTCTCTCATCTTCAGGATGTCACTCTTTGGAGGAGGTACATACACCGTAGGATACAGCATTTCTTGCTCTTTGGTTTCAAGCAGCTTCGTGTCATAGCTGTCCAAGATCGAGAATTTGCTTGCCTTGATTTCATCAACACAGTCAGTCGTATGCGCATGATATGCATTCTCAACCTGAGAATCGTCTGTGATGTTGTGGCTATCTCCATATGTAAGATGAGTTGACGGTAGCGCTTCATCGGCTCCTGAAACGGAATACGTGTTGGACACTTCGTTTTCTGCGCTCTCGATAGGGTCTGGAGTGTCCCACTTATAGTCAAGCCCACCATCGAAGAAATCGCTGGGACTAGCTGGAAGGCTATGGTAGGTACTCAAGTAAGAACGGAGTGGGTTGGCGTCTTCACCGGACAAAGGAGCATTGATGTTTGAGGTGGCTTTACCAGGACAGTTTGTCTTCGATTCCAACATTTTATTGACAACCTCATCAAGAGTGGGCTGACGAGAAGTGAGAAGATAATCTAGACTTGATGGTCCGCTTAAAATCAACTCGTTTTTTCTTGCGAAATTTGCATTCGGGATTTCGCGGCCTGGTGGTAGGTTGACGTTCATTATCTTAGAGACTTTGCGAACTTCACTCTGTCCACTAATTTTTCTGGAACCTTCGGAACTGGTAGAGATTCTATCGCGGGGAAACTTCTCGCATCTTTCGATATCTAACAACTCTACTCGGTCAGAAGCCACGTTGCTTAGACTTTCTCTAGTCTCTGAGAGAGCACTCATCACCCTCTGGCCTAGCTCTCTCTTCGCATTGTTCATGAAAGATCGAGTAGGAGTGGAATATTTTGATGATGTTGCATTTGGTCCAATGGGTTCCATTGCCGAGCCAGGCGGACTTGTTTGAGCAGTATTTGGTCGCACACAAACGCCTGCACGGCCATATTCAGGATCCCACATTCCCTTGTGAAGCTCTTCGGGTGTTGGGCAGTATGCCAAAGTTGCCGGCTTTCCTCCCACTGAGACGAATACGCTATGGTCAATCTTCCAGCTAGGTTGGTGGGCAATATTCGAGTTGCACGATTCGCAGTATGGGATAGCAGTAGGACTTATCTGCGGCTGAGCGAATTTTCTTCGTGCCTGCTCTTCTCTGTACGCAACGAGTGCTTGGGTAGGTACGACTGGCGCTTGTATTGTTGCAGTATGCGGAGCATGTGGATTGGTGAAGTCTTCCTACAATGTTGTTAGAAAGATGAGGAGCACGCAATGGCTTATTGAGCACTTGCCTTTCTACGAAGATGTTCGTGCTTCCATCTTTGGAAAACAGAAGCCGGAAATGGCGGTGGCTCTTCAATTTCGATCAGTTCCTCCAAGACTCCCAGGGCCAAGTCAACATTCTCGTCGCCAAATCTCTCCTGAAGTCGAGGATGTAATATGCGCAATCCATCCTTATATGGAAAATTTCGAGGTACTAAATGGTTTCACAATTAGTATAGATTGTACGAAAGATAATCAGATGACAAAATGAAGTAATTTTGGCCAACTTGGGAAGTCTGCTCTGGTTTCCCTGAAGACTGAAACCATGCCTTTCTGAACGGGCGGGTACAAAGGTGTAAGATCTAGGATTGGATTGCTTACCATCTGAACAAAGTCGGATTAAATAATTACGACATTCTAGAAATTGTCAATCAGGATTTATGAATTATTAGGTTGAAGACACTCCACTCACTCTCTTCACCCCAACCTTCCCGAGAGAGGTTATGCATTCCTGATTGCTTCCGTGAATTTTCAATCTCCACAGGAAGATGATAATTGCCCAGAATTGGGTGTATCATGTCACCATTGTCATATCCTGATGGACTATCGCCATTGATATCGATGGAATTGGTCTTCATCATTGCATTTCCATAGACATCAGACAGAGTATTGACTGGATAGTTTATGACCATGTCAAACCAGCAATTATAGTAAGTGAACAGCACGAATATAATGACAATTGCTGCCAAAACAAAACTTCCAAAGAACAACAGTTTCTTGTGAACAAGTCCAGTGAATTATACTGGCTGAAAGAAAGGAACCAAGCAATCGTAACATCCGGTTGTTTTTACTGGTTGGAAGGAGGAAACAAATTCATTTAATTATGAAGAAGAGTGTATTGAAGAAACTGATGGAAGCGCCTAAGAGAACCTCTCAAATATGGTGGAATCGTATCTGTCGATCTATGATACAATAGTTCAAGAAACAATAAGGAATTTTATGATGTGCAAGTATTTTGACAGCCCGAAGAACAAGAAGAAGTGAGGGTGAGAAGTGAGAAGTCGGCTGGTTGTTTTGTTGTTGTCCGACAAAGTCGAAAGTGAATCTCTTCGGTTATTGAAATAATTTATATCATCTTGAATAACTTCTAGTGCTTCCACTGTAAAGTGAGGAACTTGGAGAGAAACTCGAAGAGAAATAACAGTGCATATTGCCCACTGTCTCAAGCCCTTTGTTTAAGAATATTCATCTGTTTATCATCTTTTGACAGAGATGCGACTTGAAAATGGTGCCATCGTACGATGTTCTCTCCCAAGTGAAGGAATGGCAACAATTGAGGAAGGCACGATTATCCTTCAACTCAACATACTACCACCAATAACAAAGATTGTAGAACAAGTGTCCTACTAGGTATTTGAGGAACGATCATGAAGTCAAGTCTGGAGCTAAAAATAAATCTCCACCATAACATAAGTGCTGGTGGTGATAAGAGACCAACCACCATGGCCAGCCATTTCTCTCCAGTATTGAGAGTGGTATGAGATTTTTTGATTGAGAGCTTGAGAGGTTTACAACACAAATTCATCCTCTGAGTTCCGCCGTTTGGCTTTCAGATTAGCGAAACCTACTGCATAGACCCTTCTTGAACTCATCTTACTCCATTTGCCACGGTTGGTGTGAGAACTTCATCTTGTGTGTCTACCAAGGAAAAAGATGCCATCAATGTCCAAATTTAATCCGAACAACTTGCATAATACGGCATTGATGCATGCACCTAATGATATGTTTAAGATCATATCAGAAGTATGGTATCTTCTACGCTGCAATCTTGGTTCCATAATGCCCTACAAAGAAGTATTGCCTAGTAGATGCGAAGTAATACCCATTGCATAATTTTCTTGGACCCTTCAAAGCCCTGCCTGCCCTTCATAAGAGGTAACGAGCACAATTTACATTCTGAGCTCCACCCACCAGTAAAGCATGAGAGTTGAACCACTCATCGCGAGTGCGTCCGACGTATGAGATTGTTGGGAGTCGGTTGAGACGAGAGCTGCTCCCGAGCTAGAAACTCTAATACCACCCACATGACAGATTAAATCTTCTATATTAAGTTCATCTTCACTGGTGCCCAATTTTTCGTCTCAGTGAAGATCATTTGTCACTCTCGCCTTCAGCTGAGGAACCATTCTCTCAGTGCGCCTTTGGAGCCTGCTGAACCTCTTTTGTGTTGTAAGGTTCGGGTACAGAGGTGCTATTTATGTAGCGGTGACCAGTTTCAAGGGGATTCATGCAATATAGAGCAGCAAACAGCGTTTCGTCATGGACTTTGCATTTGCTTTGCCAATGATCATGATTCTGTTTCCATGGCCTACTGAACACATTGAGTATCTCCACCCCGAAATGCGATATTGCCCGAGTTTCGTGTATCTTGATGATTCCCGGAATGTCTGTCGCAATTGCTCTTGTATGATGGTTCTCCTACCGATAGAAAATCATCAAGACCTATCGACATTTGGTTGTGGTTGATGGTCGTTCGACCATCTGTCACATGATACACCGAAAGTTCACCGAGCTTACTTAATGCCACGTGCAGCCGTTTTCCAGCAAACACATTGGCCCCAGTCGTCCACTTCTTCAAACCAAGCTTAAAACTAACCTAGCAGCTACCGAATTTCGAAGCCGATACGAGTTGCAATTCATGGCAATCAATACAAGCGATATGATTGGTTCACTCTCCGCCTTCAACCACGCTTCCCCGCAATATTTCCAAGTTGAACTTGCCGTAGGCCTTCCCGTTACTATTTCATACCTTTCTGACACTCCTTTCTAGCTTTCAATGCTCTTCGGGATTAGATCAAGGTAGTCAATCGAGCTTCAGAATGGATCAATGGCGCCCGAATGAAATGCCGTTAGAGGTTTCCGACCTCAACATGTAGTTCACAGCAATTTAATTTTTTTTTTTTTAAAGTCTCACGGTTTCCCTTCTCTTTTCTGTTGCATTCTCATAACTATTCTACTTTTCTTGTCATCTTGCTTCAATCAAGTTCCCTTCCTTTTCTGTCAAGACCTTTAAATTTCTCGCTCTTAGCCATACAGTCACAACAATGGAGAAAAGTATGGCACCCCAGGAGAACATTGGAAACACTGGAAGTGTAGTGGAGAAGTATGATATTGTAATCGTTGGTGCTGGGCCGGTAGGGTTACTGCTCTCAACCTGTCTGGCGCGTTGGGGTTATAAGATCAAGCACATCGATAACAGATCGGAGCCAACCAAAACTGGAAGAGCAGATGGTATTCAGCCTCGGTCCTTGGATCTATTAAGGAATATGGGTTTGAAGCCTGCCATCATGGCATACGAACCTGCGAAGGTCTACGAAGTCGCATTCTGGGATCCAACTTCGGGCGGAAAGGGCATACACAGAACCGGAACATGGGCGAGTTGTCCGAGCTTTATTGACGCCAGATACCCTTTCACAACATTGTTACATCAAGGAATGATTGAAAGGGTTTTCATTGCAGATCTAGAGAAGCACAATGTTCATATCCAGAGACCTTGGACCATAACAGGCTTCAAGACAGATGAGAAGGAAGATCCCGAATATCCAGTAGAGGTCAATTTAGCTCAAGTTGAAGGTAGCGTGAAAGAGACAGTTAGGGCTAAATATCTGTTTGGTGGCGAAGGAGCGAGATCATTTGTACGACAGCAATTGAATATTGGTATCAAACACAAGGATCCAATCGCACATGTATGGGGTGTTATGGATGGGGTTGTTCAAACGGACTTTCCTGATATCAAGGTAAGCAATCTTTTCCTACGCACATCATCTTAAGCTACCAATCACTGATAAATCGGTAGATGAAATGTACTATTCATTCAGATTTTGGATCTATCATGGTCATTCCTCGAGAAGATAACATGGTCCGTCTTTACATACAGATTGCATCTTCGACCGATAAGGACTGGAATCCTAGAAAAACGGCAACGGAAGAAGAAGTGCAGGCATCTGCAAAGAAGATACTACAACCGTACAACATTGAATGGGAGCGTGTGGAATGGTACTCTGTGTATCCAATTGGTCAAGGAATTGCGGACAAATATACTCTTGATCATAGAGTGTTCATGGGCGGTGATGCTTGCCATACACACAGTGTAAGTTATGTTTAATACTCCCATCTCAACATCCGCTGACAAAAAGCAGCCAAAAGCTGGACAGGGAATGAATACAGCCTTCTTGGATGCCCAAAACCTTGCGTGGAAAATTCACCATGTCGAATCAGGATTCGCTGATCGATCTATTCTGCATTCATACGAGGCCGAGAGAAAGAAGGTTGCTGAAAATCTATTGGACTTCGATGCAAAATATGCAGCTCTATTTTCACAAAAGGCGCCAGCTGCTAAGGATGTAGAGGCAGCTACACAACGCGGAGCAGAGCACACAAACGTCGAGGGAGAGGAAAACGAATTTATCAAAACATTCAAAGAGTCCTGTGAATTTACCAGTGGCTATGGAGTGGCATATAACCCAAATTCTCTGAACTGGTCATCATCTCATCCAGCACAATCCAGCGCCATAAATCCAAAGGGCAATAAGCTCCGAACCGGCCGTATCCTCACCAATTCCAATGTCACACGAGTCACAGATGCCAACGTTGTTCATCTCGAGCAAGAGATTCCCGTCAATGGTTCATTCCGAGTATACGTTTTTGCTGGAAAGCCTGCATCTACCAAGCAAGCACTGGATGATTTTGCACAAAACCTTACCAAGAAGGGTTCATTCCTTTCCACATATCTACGATCAGATGTCGATAAGGTGTCCTATCACGAACGGCATAACCCTCACAGTCATTTCTTCACCTTCTGCACAATTTTCGCGGAGAAGAGGCAAAATATTGAGATTGCGCGAGACGTTCCAAAGATCTTGGCTAGATATAGCGATCACGTCTATGCAGATGACATCTGGGATCGTGTAGTGCCTGATGCGAAGGCTTCGAGTCATAGCAAGATGGGATTGGATGAAGAAAAAGGAGGTGTGGTTGTTGTTAGACCGGACGGATATGTAGGGATTGTTGTGGCTTTGGAAACAGGTAGCGTCACGGTGGACTCGCTGAATGAATATTTTGGAGCCTTCTGTTCGAAGAAGCTTGGGGAGTCAAGGCCATCTCTATAAAATCTATGGGGACAAGACGTAGTATGCACTGTATGATTTGATACCAATGATGTATGGAATTGGACTGGATTGGAGTCGGCAAGAGCGTGTATTGTTATACTTAGCAATTAGGTAGTTGATGAATATACCAACAGATAAATGAACCATGTCAAAACTACATATAAATTTATTGATTTAATATTGATCATTTTGATGATTGATAGATATATGTATATATCTATGTGTATATATCTATGTGTATATATCTATGTGTATCTTTGTTGTTGTTTTCAATAAGCACTTACAATTGTCTCGGCCTGAACCCAGCTATGACCAGCCCCTGCTTTTAATTCCGGCACCAACAACTTTCATCCAATCAAAAAGCTTTGTCCACCAGTCCTCTTCAAAACCTTAAATCATCTTTCACCAAAAGAAGTTCCATATTCCGTACATTCACTAGGTAGGGTAAGGTAAGGTACCTAGTAGTACTTATTTCTCCATTTCTTCTTTCATCATTGATTTGCCGCAAATCTCACAACCATCAC